TGCCAGGGAGAACAAAGGCGGGCATTAATGGCCAAGCTTTGTATTTGGCTCAGTAAAATGGCCGCGTGTGGATTCACTTATCTCCATAAGCTGATTAAGGGCATTGCCAGTCCAGTTGTTTTTTATATACGTCCGTGGTGAAGCCATCGGGTCGCCATGTCGGGATATTCAAAACACTACCATGGAGTGGTAGAAGTCACACAGTGTCGCGGTGGCACACGACCGTTGACAAATTGTTTTTTTACGATGGTGGAAACCCAGTCACAAATGCAAAAATAAAGCGTATTTTCAGGAAACCACAATTTCAAACTGTTTATACATGGGGCATTAAGGCAGTGTCCAGATGTAGAATTTCTCCAGCAAAACCTTGATAACTTTTCCAGATAATCAACCCAAACATCAAGGAATTATTTTCTTTCAGTCAACAGAGACAGTAGTTGACATCGCTGTGAGTCTTCTACTCACACGGGCCAAATGTTTTAAATATCCAAAAATGGCTGCTTGGTGGCTTCAAGGCCAGCAATCCAATCACTGTACGCGGGACCTGTCCAGTGTGTAAAGATCTGTGCTGGGGGCAAGCGGTTGTGCAGCGATATACCCAGCAAGAAAGGAGACCAAGGGGCACCCCCCCCCAACATGTCCAATCCCTATACACCTTCCAGACTATTGTTACTTAACACTTCCCCCCCAAGATGTCTGAAAGGAATTCCCCAGATTCCTGCGAGACAATGACCAACAACAAAGCAGGGGAGTTCTCTCCGTCTCATACCTTGCTGCAATATGTGCAGCGACCACTATCTCCAAAACAGACTGGTTCCTTAGTGCTTTTTTATCCACTGAAAACAGTGTATCGGTGCAAGGCGTCTCTTGTGTAGCCAGCAAAAGCTTGCCTCAACTTACAAGGCATGGCTACAGTGTCTTTAGCACGGAGAATTCATATTATTATGTTCACATGAATGTAAAGAACTTAGTGTACCCGATTTTATTCAAATTCAACTCGCAAAAGATCTGTTTAACAGCTGTCCAGTTTCCTTCGGTAATTTGTTTTCCTGACCAGGTCTTCGTGGGAGGCGGCAATGTGTTGCTGCCACAACAACCTGTTGAGCCACAAACTGCTGAAGCCTTTGTAGCTCAGAAGACGGCTAGCACTGCAACGGGCACGTATGGCACGGCGTCGTACTTGGTTCAGGGCTCACCGGACCACCCTCTGTTCATTAATGTTATGTGGTCAATCGCCTTTGACCGGAACATCTTTAAAAATCGCCTCGGAGTGGAAGTCGGTCATCAGTATAACCGAGACGATTTTCAGCGCTTGTATAGCCCCCTTGGTAGGCGGGCCGATTCCGAAACCCGTGTTTTTAGCACACGTGATGGCCTTGTTCCTATCCGGATCGAAAAGAACCATTTGTTAGTCACTGGCAATTTGGGCAACGACTCTAAAACAGAAGCTATCATTCATGTGTACGAGAATTGGGCATAACAGAAAGTTGTTCATGTTGCGAATAGGTTTGGGGGGGTTATGATTTGAACGTGGGCGCCCAGATTCATTGTTTATATAAAACCAAACCAAACATGTACACCTTGTTTATACTTAAGTATTGTGGCATATTTAAAGGACAGTTACTGTTCCTGTAAGTTTTTTCAATGTTAAATGGACGGTGTTACAGTAGCATGGCTAGGATTTTACTAGGGGCACAAGGGGCACCAGCATCTTATAGGGGGGGAGCAGTGGTGTGTTTTCAGGGGGCAAGCTTTTGCTAGCCTTGTTCGATATCCATTCATCCATTGACTTGATTTTTATCTCGTTTTCTTAGCCGGGGGGCACTGGGAATTTGTGCGGGTGGGGGCATATGCCTCCATCCCCCTGTAGCTAAGCCCTACGGTATTACAGCAATAGCAGCTGTTACATTTTCCACGTTTTTTTTCAGGATATCCAAAGGAATTTTCTTCCAATACGGGCGTTTCACAATAGTACGCCGCTAAGAGTTTGCAGTGCATCGACCAATCACGATAAGCGAAATCTGCAGACCCTTTCCGAACGGAAGACACTGTTCGAGAACCACCAAAATGACATCGTCACTATGCACACTATAGTGACTCACCGGTCAAACAATAAAGCACGCGCGCTATTCAAGAAATATCCTACAACGATGGCATTTTGGTGGTCCTCGAACAGTGCCTTCCTTTCAAAACGCACATTGGGTCAACAAATTTTGTGCATACTCTTGGAGGCGCACTCTTGCGAATTGCCCATATTAGATTGAGTGCGGTGTGTTTCTACGATGCTTTTTGTCACGGAGAATAATTATCCTTTTCGTTTTGAGAGATCGGGATATGTCAGCCGTACCTTGCACTTACGATGTGTTATCCAAAAGACAAAAATATTGTGCCGAAACGGGGACAAGGTTTTGAATGCCTCTTTGAATTCCATGGCGGCTTTGCTATATTCAGTCTATTTATTTACCTGTTTTCTCTTCATATTGCAAAACCATTCAATTTATGAAAAATTTCAAGTCCCAGTGGACAATTTGAAAAAGTTAATTTTGAAAATACGTGCATATGAGAATGAACATTACACATAAACAGAAACAGCGACAAAATTACAACATACATTAAAATCGTGCTTCTAAAACTATTAAGCTAGTATAAAAAAGGATTATTTTTAAAGGATAAATAACATAAAAAGCAGTGTGAAAACAATTTATCCCATGCAGTACGATCAGTTCACAATAGTGAGCCTCCAAGAGTTTGCAACGTGTTGACCAATCGCAGTGCGCAAAATCTGTCGACCCTTTCCAAACGCACATTGGGTTGACAGATTGGGGCGCGCACTGTGATTGGTCGTTATCGTGAATCACCCGTATTCTGAAATATTAGTAGGTACAGGAATACATTACGATAAACGTAGACTGGCAAAACTTACCTTGGACGAAAATCACACAATGACAGTAAAAACTGCACTGTCATAGCCCCCCTCCAAGAAAAAATACAAGAGAGTAAGATTGTATCCAATATACAAGCCTTAATCGAATTGGTCACCTGTTACAAGTTTTAACCAGTTGTCATGCCAACCAATCAATGCAATTTAGTTGGACTAAAATTGGGGAAAATTACCAGACTGTTTTAGATATATCAGATTTTGTACTTATTCGGTCCAAATGCATTTTTTGTAAATATGAACATCTTTAATTATATATTTTATTTTCATATTACAAATTTGGTTTTTAAATTTACAAAATATTCTGCTCTATAAAAGTGATGTCGATTTGGATAGAATCTTTTGAAGTTACAAAATGACAGCCACCAGATAGCAATCGTTTATATATACAGTTCTTCATCGTTTAACTCCAAGATATATATATACACCGAATTTTAACGTTGCTTTGTTTCATATAATGTTGTTGCTGTTTTAGTTTTAATGGCGCTTTCAGCAACTCGGGCTATTTACGCCAATAACTGTATGCTTATTCATGCACTTTATTAATCAGCTTGTTTCATACAATTCAGCTTGTATAACTTTTATACGAGAAAGTCATACCGTTTGTGTTGTATCCAGTAAGCCTAATCGGTGTCGTTTATTGGTTTTCATGTCGGAAAGAAAATATCAGTTGCCATTCCAATTGTGATCAAAGACCAGGGACTCAACGGCCCCTTAACCGATCATGTATATTCTAAGGCCATTTTTTTTGAGATGCATGTCATTAAGGGCACCCAGAATTCTTGTCAAAAGGCCTTTTTTTCCCATTTACAATTTTACACAACACAGTACGGAGTCATCTTTAATTTCCTGATGTAAACACGCTCAAGGTCATAATGTACCAGTATCAAATAAAATTACAAATGTTAGTTTCCAATGATGGATTTGCAACGGGGAGATGTTAATGGATTTTGGTTTTTTCCCTGCCCGACGTGTGTTTAAAAACACTGCATACTCAGTGTATGCCCCCGAAGGCTTGTGAAAAAACCACAAGCGTACTCGGGTGGGACTCGAACCAACGACCTCCTGCTTATTAGTGCAGACCTCTTAACCACTTGACCACTGAGCTTGCCGGTGTCGATATACCAGTTTCGGTACAGCGATGACTCCGAGTTTGTCAGCAGGCGCATTTGGCTTTTTTTCTTTTTTTTTTTTTGAAGACATAACGGTCTGAGCATCTGCGTCTACTTTGCTATGGGAAAATGGTTCTTTGGGGGGACTCGTCTCCATGCATCATGGAAGCTTCTTGCGTTGAAATGGCCGGACTCCCCTTTGAAAAACTCCTCCACAGCCTTAAGTATAGCCTTTATCTCTTAATCCCAGCTGAAGAACAAACAGCGCTAGCCACAGTGGATATTGTGCAGTTGATGGCGCTGTCCATATAGCCTCTTTTGACATTGTTACACGGGTGAGGCTTTGAGCGAGGCGCTCCGTGCATGGAGTCGCTGCGCAAAACTTTTGCTGCACGGAAAACCCGTTTACAGAACATGGAAATTCGTTCATGGGTAACTGAAGGGAGCCAGACGCGTAGTGACGTTATGCACGGAGTGCATGGCTTATAGCCTCAGTCTACCGCGAAATAGGATCCGATAATACCAAAACAAGTATCATAGAATTATGCTGCCGCCGCCATTGTTGCTGTTGCTGCTGCAACCTCAGTAGTCTTGACTCAAGGCGTAGTGTGTGATAATACTGCCATCTGGGAGGGAAGGCACATAGGGCAAAGCGCGTCCACACGTCTACAAAGTCTTGACCCTTAAGTCTAATCCCTCGATTGCTACTTTGGAGAGGGCTTTTCCAACCTAAAGGTACATTACTCAATTAGCGAATGTTGCTCGAATCCGTCCTCATACGAATTCTCGGCCAGCTTACCTTTGGTTCACAAATAAACAAGGCAAATGAAATGTCAATAAATTATCCACCTGGAAATGGACAATGCATATTTGCCAGACCTGTCACGGTGTGGGCTCCCTAGTGAGCACCCCCGGGAAAAAGGCTAGAATAAAAACTAAAAAAAAAACTATTGTTATTGTCATGTGTCTACTCGCTGGTACTTTGCTCCCCCCCGCAAGAAGCCCTCTTCGGGACTGTCAACTGCACTTTACGATCAATATGCTATATATACTTTTATGATACAACGCCGTAGTTTGCTTACTCTAAGACTTAGTGCCTCGCAGTTATAAAAAAAAAACACTTTTCATTCCATAGATTCGATATTTTTTTACCTGCCGAAATTTTCACTTTGGTGGTTTTCGGCAGTGATGCTGGTACTCTTTGCCTGACCTTGTCTTGTGAATTTCACGATTGAGTTTATTGCAAAAACGAGGCAGCACAGTTCCAGAGTGCAATTAATGCCGTACCGTTTATTCTACTTGGTATTGGAACACGTGATAGCTCTGCACCATTCCCAATGAGCTCTGACTCGATGATTCTGCAGGCACCAGCAAAAAAGGAAGAAAAGCAGTGCGAAAAGAGGTTGAAGTTGCCGCTTTGAAATAAAAAAAAGACATGTAGCGCTATGCTTTCATACTACCTGCACAGGAAACCACAGATAAATTGACTCACAAAGTAATCCATGGGCACAGGAATGTTCAGTGCGTCCTCCTCATGACCGAATTCGAGTTTTATTGACTACTGTAAGCGCTTTGATTCTGCGTGTTTTTATATTAAACACTAATGTGAGCCGTGGTCAGGTTATCTTTTTCAGTCAAGTGCGCGGTTTCGATTCTTTGTTCTGTTTTGTTCTCATTTCGTTTTGATCTGGTTGTGTTTCAAACCATTAATTTTAATCTTTTCATGAGAAACTGTCGTGATTTCTTTTGCGTTAAAGAGTAGCAGCCATAGGTTTTTCTTGGACACAATTCTTCTGCAACCGTGGACCCTTCTTCAGTGTATGGAAATTGCTTGCCATCCCCTTTTTATTAAATGCACCAAAATTTGCACGTTTTGAAATAATTGATGAGTTGCCTCGCAAAACGCTATCCATTTCATTGATTCTGAAATAATGCGCAACTATTATCTGCTAATGTAGGTCTTATATCCGATGTACATTTTATCATATATCTAAACTTACAAATCGAAATTCAACTGACAAGGTGTCAATATGCAGATGTTTTTTATGAACAATACATCAGTCGTCCTCTTCGTTTAAAATTGTCTACACTTTTCTGGAAAACTGGGGGCGCTGTTGCTGTGATGTCATCAGGGAATATATCAATGCATATGTTTTTCTGTTCAAATTGTGAACCCGGAATTTTCTACGGAAAGGGTGCGTGCGAGGTCATTGCTGTGTACTCAAGCAGCAACGGATCACAAACAAAAACAAAAGGTGGGTTAGCAAAAATAAAACATTCGTGCACAAACCAATTTAACACTTAGAATATCCTCCCAGGATGACACCACAGTTTTGCTCATGAATATGGAAATACTTATGAGCATATAAACCCAAAAGTCAGCAAAATATCCTTTTAAAGTAATCCAACAAAGCTCTAAAACTGAGGTTCACTGAGACACAGAGATGCGTTTTGAGGTTTGTAACATAAATACCAAGCGGCTACCTTTTAAGGCCTGTCACTGTCACCGTTTTCACGTGTGGAAAATGGATTTTTCGATTTTGATTTTCGTTTCACTATTTCGTTCTAAACCACCGTGCTTGACCATTTTGACAAGATTCCTTGAGAAAAGCAGCATATGTCAAAATTTCATTAATGTTGTTATTGGAAAAAAAAACTCAATAACTGCATTGAATTTCACGACGAGACACAAACCTGACTGCCCCTCATACATGTTCAGAACGTATTGTCGTGAATGGCCGAAAAAAAAGGTCAACTGAGATTTTCGTTTTCAAGAACACACAAGTATCTTTGTTACATTCACAGCCCCCGTGAAAAATGCAGTGCCCCATCCCTGTGGAACAAATGCATTGACCAGAAGGGCCAGAAAATAGGAAACTGTGGATTTTCGATTTCACGAACGGACACACTTTTTACTAATTCATTTCGGCTGATTAACCACTGTGTGCATTTTAATTACTTGGTTCAGGTACGAGTTTAGCTTTAAAAGAATCCTTTGAGTGGTTTTCACTGTCCACTATTCCATAAAAGTGTATTTTGCAGTTTTAAATAGGAGAAACTTAGCTAGCGATAATCTCGAAAACCATTTTTTTTTAAATCTATATTTGTGGCTCTTTGTGAAAATGGTGACTCTGTGCAAAAGATAGCCCAAACGCGAAATTTTAACGTCAGATTAATCATTCGTCTGCGAGTAAGATATAATTTAAATACACCCAAACCAAACTGAAGTTTTCTGCAAATCTTAAATGGCGTTAAAATGGCTTTGCATTCGAGTTTGCCTGAATTATACTTATGAATCTGCCCGTGAATGACTCCATTCCAAGCTTATAAGCGATCTGTAAAACAAAAGAACAAATGAAGGCATCACCGAACATTTCTTGTATTATATGCCAGTAGACAATAGAATCGTTTCTTAAGGTCAGTGCTGGGCTTTTATGATGCTGGATTGCTACGTTTTGCGGAGTTGCATAACAACATTGTGAACAATTATACTGGTAGGAAGTGCGCGGTGTGTCAGAGTACGCCCCAGTCGATGCGTTTTACGAGCTTTAAATGGCCGGTATAACTACAGTTGGTTTTAATCCACAAAGGTGAACTGCCAAGTGGCTTCTATTGTTCTTCCGGACTTGAGATTTCTGCAAACCTTTGGCTACCAGCACCATTGGTTATCATCACGTTGTTGGGTGACACTCCGTGTGACTATCGGCCACTTTATGTTCCACCTTAGTTTCTGCTGCGGCGTGCTCTTCGAAGGAGGTAAGAATGCACGAGTCGTGATTTTGCATTTCGTTTCTTCTCTTGTCAGTACACGAATCGTTTCTAAAACATCAGTTGAAGTTACTTTGGCCAATTTCGTTTAAAGAATTAAGTTTAGTTACTGCTGTTCAACGCGTGGTTGAACAAGTGTTTTTTTTCTCAACCTAAAATGCGGTAGTTAACCTCATACACGTATCGCACCTGTCCATTTACAAAAAAACCACTAGGCCGACATTAAAAGGTCGTTTTGGGAAAAAAATGATAAATTATTTTCCTTTCCTGCAGTATAGGTTGCGATGAAGCACTAACGCATTCATGCCCAATAGTGCTTCAGTCAAATTTCACGTCAAAACAACTCTCCAGCAGTGGCGTAGCTAGGATTTTACTGGTGTGTGTGTGGGGGGGGCATTTTTTGTTAGCCTTATTCAGTATCCATTCATCGGTTTTTTTTCACTGGGGGCACCAGGAATTGGGGGGGGGCATGTGCCACCGCTCTCCATTGAGAGTGGGAATGTTTTCGATGTGTGACCCGGTACATTGAAATCAGGAAAAAGTTGTCAATTGACTTTTTGAGATGTCGTCGTATGCCCCGCAAAAGATCGTAAGCACTCGTACGCCCTTTTGCTGGGAAGCATGATCACAGCAGAAAAATGTTCCCGGCAAAATGGGCGTAAGAAACACACTCTCTTTATTTAGTAAAAATGGATATAATTTACTACAAAATCAACACAGGATGTACCATACAAAAGCAACCTTTAAACAACTCATTGAAGGACTTGGGAATTTTTTTTGTACTTTTTGCAAAGAAATCTTCATATTTCGTTAAAATATAACAGTTACATACATACGTCCTTTTGCCAGGATTTTTTTTCAGGGATCATGCTTCCTGGCAAAAGGTTACAAGCGCTTGCGTCCTTCTTCTAGGCTAACGACGATACATGGTCAGAAAGAGAATTTCATCAGCTTTCAAATGGTACGCATTACAAGTGTGTTGATGGTAACCTTTCATACATTGGCCTACACTTCCAAAATATACAGAAATCGCCACGTCGATTTTTTAACATTTACCCACATTCCACTTCACTCGGTCATCACGTGAAACGGCCTCAGCGACTGTTACGATCTACCGGGTAACATATGTGCCGATCCGCCCTAAAAAAATTACTTGGTCTGACGTCATATTGGCGTTCGTGTTCTCTTGTATGCCACTGTGGTAATCAGCCTCCGGGCTAAATTTTTCCATATACGAAGAAACAAACTTGCTGATCATGACTGTGGTTGCTAGACAAATTAAAGTGAAAAATCCTGTCTGTCAGTTCTGGAATTGAGTATTGAAGCAGGATAATACTAACTGCAAGATTAAGAATTCTTTTTTGGTTGGTCTTAACTTTTGTGTAATATTTCCTGACTATTTTTACACGCGTTTAAAGTTATTGGTCTTATTTCTTGTACTCATAAAATATAATAAATGAACACTTTTAAGCTTTGTGCAACACTGGTTGTTCACAACAGTGCGCGTCTACGAGTCTGCAACGCACTGGCCAACCACGATGCGCGAAATCTGTCGACCAAATGCTCGTTTTGAAAGGGTCGACAGATTTCGAGCACTGGATTGGCCAACGCGTTGCAAACTCTTGGAACGCACTATTGTAAATTGCCCGTATTCAAGATAGTTGACAAGCCGTTAATGTTCGTCAGTGACTGACGACCGTCAGCTGTTGTTTGCGCTATTCAGGCTACTGCCATACCAATTAAAGCCAACCATCCAACCCAAACTATGAGCTCGGTGGCCCAATGCAGTGTCGGCGCTGCTAAGCTTGAGGTTATGAGCTTGAAAGCTTGCAATTTCCTTTTTCAAGTGAAGAGTAAATCTTCAAACATTCACCTTGCCAAGATGAAAACGTTGATTTTTATATAGTGTACACACACACTGAGAAAACCGTGCGGTGAACAATGTTCCTCTAATCTGTGCCAGTAATTTATGCACGTATGCATTGTGAAATCTGGTGCATTATAGAACTGATTTGGTTGTCAAAACTGATACCCAAGCATGTAGAAGAACTAAGCAGATATACTCTCCGGAGGCAAATGAGTTGCAGGACTTAACGTGAATATATTCAGTCCGTTTGCTGGTGTATGAAATAGCGATCCGTACGTAACAAATAGTGATCTGTAAGAACGAAATAGTAATCTGTTCGTGCGAAATAGTGATCCGTACGTACGAAATAGTGATCCGTACGTACCAAATAGTAATCTGTAAGAACGAAATAGTAATCCGTTCATACGAAATAGTGATCCGTACGTACGAAATAGTGATCCGTAAGTACGAAATAGTGATCCGTACGTACGAAATAGTGATCCGTACGTACGAAATAGTGATCCGTAAGTACGAAATTGTAATCCGTACGTACGAAATAGTAATCCATACGTACGAAATAGTAATCCGTACGTACGAAATAGTAAGCCTAATCCGTTGCCGAGCACAAGTGTAACGTAGAAGAAAAGATGAATAATTTGTCGATAAAAATCGATCCTGCAGGCTTAACAACATCTACCTCTCTTTCTGAAAATGGCTTCTAAAGAATTACATAGGACTTACCACACCGCTAGTAGGGAACTGCCCAAACTCTTCTTGCAGATGACATGGCTCTACCCGTCACAGTCGTACGCTAGATAGGTACATCTCGTAGTCAAGGAGTGCGCCCTCTCTTGTACTTTACAAATGGATGGAACCATTTTCGCCGTCGGGGTGGCCAGAACGTCAGATAGAGTACAGAAGTAGGCTTCGGAAACAGCATGTTCCGTCTTCCCGCGTCCCATCTTCCCCCAATGTACCCTACGTATGAATTAAAATATTTCTTACTATTTCCTAACTACACTTCCATAAGAATCTCCTGTTAGTTCAGAGAGAAAAATTAACAGTAGAATATGCTGTCCCAAAACATCAACTTCTGTAATGCCAATTGACAGCTGTTACTTTTAACAGACATTTTTTTAACAGTGGTATGCTTCTGTATGATTTTAATTTGAAATTTTGTAATCTGTCCGCCCCGAGGGCTATGTCAAATAATGGGTTGAACTCTTGGAGATAGACTGGAATAGCTATTCTTCAACTAGCATGAGGGTCGTTGATTTACTGAACGCACAGGAATTTACATTACTGAAGCAGCAATTTCACGAGGCTATTGCCGTAAAACAGAACTGAAACGCTGTAGATTTCCAAATAGATGTAAATTTACGGTATGGCTGCCGCATTTTTACGAATCATCGATTTTAAATTACATCAGCGGGAGCGTTATTTGTTAACTTTAATTTAACGATTTATGTAATTTTACAGTAAAGGGTAAAAAGGGTTTTACGGAATAGTGATGGCGTCCAAACGGCCATGAAATTCCCTTAAAAAAGATTTTGTGTTTTTGTAGTGTATGTAGGATACAAGATCAGCCGACCGGGACAGAGTTAAGGTCCAGTTATTTTGTCATGGTGACAGAGTTGCCCGCATTTTCCTTGAAACGTGATATCCAGACGTCCTTGTACGTATCCATGAATATTTATGTCCGGTGAACTTTCTGCGGGTAGCTGAAATCAGAACAGCACTTTGGTACATTATGCTTCCCCCCAAATAAGGAATTGAAAACAAACCTCCCTTTTTAGCATTTGGTTTAAAACATTGATTTCCCTCCAAACGGCTTCCTTTTGTGCAGAAATTAGATTGGCAATCCACGCAGAGCTATGGCTCTCTATAGCACAAGGCTTCTCCTGGTAGTTTTTCCCATGGTGGCGTTCCTCCTCCCTTGGCAAAGCGAGCTGACCCAGGCGGCGGGGCAGCAGCGACTCAAGCTCCTCTACTACACCGCCTCGGACGACGGAAGCCACCACCTGACCAACACCAAGATCGCCGAAGCCCTGGTCCGGAGGGGCCATGACGTCACCTTCCTCCTCAGCAGCAGCTGTACCAAGTGGAGAAACACCAGCGGCGCCAACCTGTTCAAGTTTTTCGTCTTCCAGTCAAGGTACACGGAGGAGGAACGGACTCAAAACCTGCGAGAGATCTCCCGCCTGGGCCTGAGAGGAGAGCTGAGGGGCTTCGTCAATGCCATGAAATTCTACCTCAAGCAGAGGTTTTTCGGCGACAAAAGGTCCAGCAAGGTGCTGTTTGATTTCCACTTTAGCGAGTGCAACAGCCTGCTTGGGGATAACACGACGATACAAGCCCTGAAGCAGGAGAGATACGACCTACTGGTCGGGGAGGATCTGTCTGATTGCCAGCCGCTCTTGGCGGAGATCCTGGGCATCAGGTTTGTCCTGATCAGCGGAACGGGAATTATTCCGTCCAAGGGAAACTGGTACGTGCTGGTGTATACTTTATTTTTGGAAAAAGGGCAGTCGGTTGATATAATGAACCAGTCCAGAAAATGCCTCTCTTCTCGACAACTGAACATGCACAGTGAGTGTTTTGGGGAGACGTGAAGTTTCACCGAGACAAATCTCTGTCTGGTTCCACGCCTACTTTATTCAGACACAGTACTTTTTTGGACTTCTTTCCGGTTAAAACATCAAAAATAAAAAAAATTACATACCCTGCAATTTAACCTGGGATTCCATTTAAAACATGAAAGGATGGATAATGTTTTTTGTAGGAAAATTGCCCACTTCTTATCTAATCCTAGGATCCAACTGCAATCACGCACCTTTAACGCCCGCCGCCTAAGAATGTCACCCACTCAATCCCGAGATCAGACGGAGGTGTTAAGCATTTCTTTCTTAAAGTATGCTTATCGGTTCAATAACAGCTGTCTTTGTCTTCTTCACAAGAAAATGTGTGCTTTGTCGACGCCACAAAAACTACACTTGAAAACGAGAGTTAATGTTTTATTTTTGGTTACACGGTGTCGGAGCTGTTGATTAGACGTAACTCTGTCCAGATCTGTCAGGTAATGCATGTATTTAAAGTAATAATGGAAGCGATTAACAGAGCCCCGGCGTTTGTTCCCTAAAGTTCTATATCGAGCTTGAGGCACTTGGACCAAATGGTTACCTACGCCACGCCTTACCGGCCAAAGAGGTTACAGCGGTCCCAGATTTGAACATTACTTGTCTACATGTTTTTGCAACTTAATTTCTTCTCCTCTTTAAAGTGATCAAACTATTTGACGTCCCACGTAACGATTGTCATTGAACAGGACACTATTCATTGTGTGTGTGTGTGTTTTTTTTCCCAAATTATGGATCCAATGTTGGCTGATTTAAAATATCTGTATTAAACTCATGCTTACTTTCTTAACATTAACAGCATTACAAATCATCAAAGTACATAAAATTTTCGAGAGTCAAGACCCTAAAACTGGCGAAGATGTTATTTCAGAAATAGCTGTCGGACTGAGGTCTGTACCTAGGATGATATCACACCTTTGTTGTTAAATATGCAAATTTATACTAGCACAGCAATAAAAGCCACTTAAATGCCCTCGAAATTCAGGCCGACAATGCCGGAAAAGTGTTTACAGAATGACAAATTTACATTCCGATAACAAGTAGATTACACAGCCCCTTATTGTAACCTAATCCCAAATGTAAAAGACCAACCCCCTTGGATTATTAACTTCACTGCAAAGCATGCCCCAGAACTGTTTTACGTGGGGTGTTCCTTCTGACATTCTCTTTGGAAATTTAACTAATTATAACTCTGATTTAACGGTTACCAAGTCTTTCTGACATGTCACCAATCGATCACATCTCACTGATTTAATGACCAGATTTGCTTATTCACACACTGTAAAGATTACAGGTTTGATCAATCAAAATGCCATCGTTGCCTGACGATATATCATCATTTTTGTCAGCAACAATTTTGCTCTACGTAACAGGTACGGCATTCCAAGGCATCCAGCCTACATTCCCGAGCGCCATGTGGGACTGAGCGACACCATGAATTTGCCGCAGCGGACACTGAATGCATACGCGTACATCATCTACGACGCCCTCAGACGAGTGACTCTCTGGAAATATGAGGACCTCCAAAGGCAGTACAACCTCCGCCCGGAGAAGCGAATGCCGGAGATGTTGGCTGGGGCCCAACTGTGGCTCTTCTACGGGGACTTTGGGTTAGAGTACGCCCGGCCAATGCAACCGAACGCAATGTTCCTAGCTTCGCCGATGCTGGGGCTTCCTTCCGAGGAAACGGTGAGCACACATTCCATCTGAATCAATCGTTCGCTAGCATAATGCCTAGGGCGCTCTCACTGGCTCAGGTGACCCAACATAGGCATTTTCTTTTAGATTTACCGAGCGATTCATTTTTGTTTCATGTTTTATGGCAAGAGTTTTCATTAAAAGTGAAATACTGCTTTCGTTTTCACTTACAATTTTCATGTGTCTGATTCATTTGGTTGGCTCGTTGGTTGGTTTATGGTTTATTACATGTTGCCTTCTTGCAGCCATATGGCTGAATCATATACAAAGGCATTACAAAACAATCTATTTATGCGTTTAAAAACTCCAATTCACATTAAAAACATGCGATCAAATTTACAACAATCAAAGAAACTACCTGAGGAAGAGAAAGCAAGCTTGAACTCCGAAACACTCGACCACTAATCTTGAGCTTCGTTTGTAGTTAGCCAGCTACGGAAAACATTAGACATTAATAAAGATTTGGAAAATTTCACACAAATTTGTTCTCGTCTTTCTTGAAGTTCCATAAGTTTGAAGCACCTCCCAGTAAGAATGATAACTATTTCCCAAAATAATTTAACACGCCCTTTTTAGAATTTGTTCAATAGGATCATGTTGCTGCAAGGTGAGACTAGAATGCCATGCCGGGACTGCATACTCAAGCAGTGGTCTAATATATCCAACGTAAACTGTTATGAAATCCTTACCACACAGTACAAATCTCCTACGGGTTAACATGAATAACCGTCCGCTAGCCCTTTCACCTATGTCACAAATGGGAGCATCCCATTTATGATCTTTGGTAATTTTTATGCCAAGTACCTGAAGTACATCTGTTGATTGAAGTTAGTTCTTGACCAGCTATCTGCAATGAACGAGACTGGAGGTACCTTGGCAAAGGTGATATCCACTGACAGACTTTTGGAGGGGTTTAAAGACATGTTGTTGATATTAGCCCACTGGTCAAACTGATCCACCTCTGCTTGCATAATACTATAACCATTTACTTGAGTGTTTTATACAAAAGTCGTCTACATACTTCAGAGCAAACATTCTCTCTGTGGCGATTGCAGCATCGTTGATCATACACAGAAATAAAGCCGGACCAGGTAGAGTACCCTGGGGGACCCCAGCTCGCAATTGTGCCCATTCAGAAATAATGGCCTGACATTTAACACACTGAAAACGATTAGTAAGAAAATCTGATATCTACGGAATAATGGAGGGTCTGACACCCATATCAAGTACCGTAGTTTTAGAATTGCCACATCATGGTCCACCTGATCAAAAGCTTTGCTGAAATGAGTTACATGTACTACTGTACGGGAGAGGCTCTTAGCTTTCTCGGCATGTTCAAATACATTATTAAGTAAGTGAACAAGATAATGTGTTGTCGAGCGGCCTTTATGACTACCATACTGATTACCATTAATGCAAGGTTGAGTGCCATCAATTAACCAACCAATAATGAATGACTCAGCAACTTTAGCAAAAAAGATCAGTTAACTTTATCCCAAGACGGAGGATTTGACTTTGGTATGGGAAATAATTGCCCGCTTCCATTGAAGTGGGACCACTCCTTGTTGGAACGAGGCATCCAGGAGTACCGAGTTTGCCGGCAAATTCTCGCACCAACTTAGCAGACATTCCACTAGGACCGCCTGCCTTGGTGGAACCTAACCTGCGTAACTTATTGTACACTTCCCGTGGGTAAATCGTTGGGACGGGTGAAGGGGAAGGGAGAAATGCAGATAAGGCTGCCGCGGAGAATGGGGTCAATATCACCACTGACGGTGGTGAAATGTCCATTCGGGGAATCGGCAACACCCATCTTGCCATCGGGGTCTACATCAGGATGTGGTAACATTGGCAGTTGATGTTTACTTTTTGTGGTCACAACATGAATCTGTTGATACCAGATTTATGTAAATACTCCTTCCAGTCTATTTTTATTTCATCATTTTCGTCACCTTTACTTATTTTTATTTCGTGTTTTGTTTATTAATTGTTGTACCGATGAAGTTCTGTTGTTTGTCTTTGTCGTTTTTTGTTTTGAAAACTCGCATTCTTTGCCAATTTACCTTCAGTTTTACCCCAGTTTCAACTCTCCCTCTGTTATTCAAGAAAACAATTTTTAATAACTATAACGATGACAATTCATGTATAACCTTTCAGAACAGATTGATTGGAAACCTACCTAATACTTCCCGGATGACATTCCAAATGCATGTATTTTCCCAAGGAAATAATTTTCTTCGCTGACAGTGGGATTCCGATGAGTGAGCATGTAATTCCATGGTCGTCAACGTGGTCCTCGTTTCAAAAGACAATGAACTCCGGGGAGTCCGGTTGGCCTAGTGGTTCCTTCTTCGCCTTCCATCTATGCGGTCCGGGCTCAATACGGGCGATTCACAATAGTGCGCCATCAAGACTTTGCAACACGTTGGCCAATCATAACGCGAGAAAGTTTTCGATCCTTTCCAAACGAGCATTGAGTCGACAAGTTTCGCTGTACCTGAGCACTGCGGTCATTTCGTCCATTTTAATTTTCACAAAGTGGATCTATTCTGAATTTCCCAACTTGAAAGATGTTTTTCTTATTTTTCTGTACTTTGGGAGCAAATTTTTGTAGAATCCTGGCCAATTTGCGCGTGTCACTTTGTGGAAACAGAAACATCATTCTACTTGTCACTAACTACCATCGGTAACTGGTTGTTTGTCCCCGGCGTTCGAGCGGTCGACCCACGAACAACAAATCGAGCTGTTCGTGAACATTCAAGATTAAGCCGCCCGAACTCAGCCATATAAACACATAGTATAACCGTGATTTTAAAAACCGTGGGCAAGCAGTGGACGAAACGGCAAATGACGGGGAGTTCAGTGCGAAATGCCCGTGATGTACTTAAGATTGCTTATATTTGTTTACATGTGCTGTTCCCTTTTTTACTCTCTGGTACTGCTATCTCTTCTTTTCAAAATTAATGTTCCAGCCGCAGTGTTTCGAATCTGCATGGGCCAAGTTAAGTAAACAGGGGATTTTGTTTCACGATTGAAAAATGGATTCATAGCTTCATTTTATTGCTGGAGTTCTTCAACCGTGCGTACATTCCCTATACCGAGGGGTGAATTTGCCCCGGCTTTTTGGATTTAGTCGGGTGCCGTCTATGCTATGGGACCCCACTGTTGTTTTGAGTAGGAGCTGCCCATCTCGGGGTTTATATGTTTGTGGGTCGACAGATTTTGCGCGTTGTGATTAGCCAAAGCGTTGCAAACTCTTAGAGACGCACTATTGTGTCACATTTCGAGGCATCATTTTCCAGGTTAGTGTGAGATTCCGTGAAGATTACCAAGTGTTTCTCTCTTTGCCAACCAGGTGCCACAGGACCAGCAGGAGTTTCTCGATGCCGCCCACCAGGGCGTTGTTCTGTTTACACTAGGCGGTCACGTGAACGAGATGCAGACTGCACAGGCTCAGATGTTCGCGAACGGATTGGCCAAGCTGTCGCAGCGCGTGCTCTGGCAGTTCAGTGGCAGCGTGTCACATCTGCGCATTGGAGACAACACCAAAGTGGTGCAGTGGATTCCCCAACAGAAGATCATGGGTAGGTTCTGCCGCTGAATGAGGTGTGCATTCATCCGGCGTACTCTCCTGCACGAGGACGCTTCAGTGTATTCAATCTATATAGACCTTTTTCACCCACGTGACAGGATTGCTCTAATTGTATACCACCACGTGTGGACCGCCTCGGCCAGGGTGTAGCATATAATTCCCACGGGCAGCTTGAGCCACGAGCAAGCGCACGTGCGAACGCCGCGTGCTTGACTGATTTATCTTGAATAGGTAGATTACCGTCACAACACTCTCACATTACCATCACAACACGTGGCGGTCTAGCACGATTGTGACATCACGGGAAAAAGGTCTTTAGCTGCCTCCCCGGCGTCTTTTCCAGAATCATATACACGTGGGCGCATCAAGAGTGCCCGTATTTATATTACTGGAGTGTGCTTGCATGCTGGTATTACAAGTGATCTATTGTACTTCTCACACGCATATTTCCACGTTTCTTTACAAAATTTCCAGCTCATCCCAACACCAAGGCTCTCTTGAGTCACGGTGGGCTGAATGGCATGTACGAGGCGGCTTGGTATGGTTTGCCGATGGTCGGCATACCACTCTTTGGAGACCACTTCGACAACATGGAGCGAGCAGTGTCCAAGGGAATGGCCCTGCAGCTAGACATTGTCGGGCTGACGGAGGAGGTCCTGTCCCAGACAGTCGATCAGGTCATCAAGGATCCAAGGTGCGTCATAATGTATTATGAAATTATTTTCGAAGATGCTGGCCATTGCACTTTGGTGGCCGTGAGGAAATTATGTTGGCCTCGATCAACCGGTGGATCTTTGCGATCAGCAGATCGATTGCGCCTGTTAAGTCACGAGACCTAGAGTGGGCGTTAAACATCAGCCTCTCATAACAAAGTGTGTTACAAGTGTTTTTTACCAAAAAATAAAGCCGGTGGTCGGAACCATGCTGACATGCGGAGTACTGTACTGACAACTGGCTTTAATTTTGGTAAATCGTTCTTGGTACATCTTTGGCTGTAGATTTCGCAAGAGGGCGCAGCACATCTCGAGAATTCTCCGCGACCAGCCAGTTATCCCGTCCGAGAAGGCGGCCCACTGGATCGAGCACGTGACCAAGTACGGTGGGGAGTATCTGCGCCCTCGTGCGGCCGACCTCAGCTGGATTGAGTACCACCTGGTGGACGTCTACGCATTCCTAGTCGCCATTTTGTTTATTGTTCTTGGCCTCCTGTTCCTCTGCCTCAGGGTCTGTCTTTGGCTTGCTTGCGGCCGAAATAAACAGGGCAAAATCAAAAGTAAAGCAGATTAGGAGAACAGACAAATAATCACCTTAGAGAGCACACAGCAAAACTAAAATGTTGAGCTTTTTTCGCCGGCCGACATAGGAAATGATCCTGCATGCGGTAGTGGATCGTTACCAACGACGTCTTACGGGCCCAACATTTTGTTAAGAATACTTTCCTTTCATTTTAAACGAGTCCGGTAAGATAACCTCATCTACGGAAAGCTCACTGGGATGCCACAGTTTTAGTAGTCTGCGGCTACGGGTTGGTAAATGTGGACTTTTGAAGTCGGTCTATGCACATATTGACCACTTTTATATCTCAGGGTGATTTGGTGCCACTAATCCTCCGATGAACCAGACAGCATTGTATTTAATCGAGGCCAGTGTTTGTTTAAATGATTACCAAGTACTGTTTCGCTCCCGCAAACCTTGCTAGTGGTTCTAGCACCACAAAGTTTGTACATCAACATCAACAGAGTAATTTTATCTAGCTCCAAGCCTTTCTGGCTCGTGCCTTCGTCATATCCGCGCACGCAGACTGAGTGCAAGCTCCCATTGGATGATCACTTAAGTTGCCATCACCCTCCGGTTCAATGGTTCCTTGTAGCTCTTTGTGCAGTGGGTGTGGTTTGATTTGAAGTGACGTCACACTTACGAGCTGGATGCATATGCAAATTATGCACATGCAATGTCTGCCCCAGACACAAATTCTTTAGCAATTTATTCTTTTTGTACTCCAGACCACTAATAAAGCTGCCAAAGACAATTAAATGATAGAAATCCCCGCTATAAAAGAGGGGTTTTTTGTTCAAATTTATCAGGTGTACAACACATATTTTCAAACCAAAGCCCATTTCCTCATATTTAATTTATGAAGATATTTCTCTCCAGAGATGATCATCCTTAGAACCAGTGGTTGAGCCAGTCGCCATTTTGAAAATAGCTGCTTACACTTCGTTGGAATTAGAGCAATACGGAGGACCTCGTTCTGTCTAATACTTTCGGAAAAACAAGCTAGCAGTCCCTCCGATAGCTTTTATTATTTTTTCTTCACAAACTCCCTGGTCCACATGCCTTGAAATGCTCTACTAGCAGAGAATTTGACAGCTTGCAAATCGTGATTCGGTCTGCGCAAACAATCTATGGCTTATTTACTGGCCTGCAAACTTCAGCATAAAAGCAGACTTTAAGGGCAATAAGCTTTTGGAAGTTAAATTTGAAAAAAAAAGTCTGCTACACGAAGTTCTTAAAGTCCACGTGAACATGGCATTTTGAATTTTATATACTAAAGACAGTGTTGCTATACCTCGTGATTCGGGGCAAGCTTTCGCTTAGTTAGACGCCTTGCACGATAACACTGTTTTCAATGGATAAGAAGGACACAAAGGAACCAGCCCATTCCAGAGATGGTGGTCGTTATGCAAAAGCTTGTCCCGAATCACGAGCAACAGTGTCTTTAATCTGGGGAATTCAAATTGTTATATTCATTTTCAATCAGATAACACAGTGTACCAGATTCTGTTCAAATTTAACTGGGAAGGGGCTTATTCTTTTACATTGCCAAATAGCCATTTTTGCACATCCGTTTCCAAGCAAAGCCAAATGAATACACTGACATGCACACTCTCGTCAGCCAGCATAGTTGGTTCCATACACACTTCACTAGACCTGTAGCATAATGATGTCGTGCTTTGTTTACAAGTGCGCTTGCCTGTGGCAGAGATGTGGGACGTGATCTATCAAGCTCCGACTGGAAAGCGCGCACATGTAAACAAATGGTGACGTCACGATGTTTCAGGTCTATCAGAGACAAAACACCAGCCTGCATGCGAGGCACAACGTAAGCAACAAACCGCCAACGTAAGTGCATATAAACAAGAAACCCTGAAGTCTTAGTCAGAGGAATTAAACCAGTAACTGTCTTCCTAAATTCTCTTTATTTTGGTGATTTAAAGTTGTGAGATTCAATATTAGAGAACCTAACAGCAGGTTGAACATTACTAAAAATGACTTAAAACCATTATAATAAAACTATAGCACTTCAGTTTACATTTATAATAATGATACAGTTCTAGCATTTCAGTAAAGACATTTCAGTTTAATGTAATATACTGATACATAGGCACGAGTGATACACAGATCTGCCGGATCATGATTTGTATTTGCAATGTTTTCTTTATAATTCAGCGTTCATTTTTGTAGATATAGTGCACCACTTTCCATCTGTATCACATTATAATATAAAAAGACAAAATTCCTCATCTAAAGTATGTAAGATGTCAACTAATCGTCTATCACATTACAGGCACCATGCACAATGAAAAGTAGCCATGCATCCATTCCTGTATATGCAAGAATTTTGGGGGTTGGGGTTGGTGTGGGGTGGGGTACGGTGGGGATCAGCTCAAGATCATGGACCGATACGAGCGATTCACAGCAGTGCATCTCCAAGAGTTTGCAAAGCGTTGGTCAATCACAATACGTGAAATCTGTCGACCCTTTCCAAACGCGCATTGGGTCGACAGATTTCGCGCGTTGTGATTGGCCAACACTATGCAAACTCTTGGAGGCGCACTATTGTGAAACGCCCATACTCATGCAAAGCTCACTAGTGCCTGAAACAAATTGGAAACATCTTGTACTTTTTGGGGGGGGGGGGTATGGACATCGGTCCAATAGTGTCACTATAGGCCTAAAGGTTTCTATTTCCCGGCTCTCGTTTGGCTCCCGGCGCTCAAAATACATAATATACACTCTGTCTTGCGCGTCATCAATGGTTAACTATAAAATGAACGATTTTGCCTTCGTGGCCTTACATCACAGTAAAGCCACTCTCAGGGCGTATTAGTACCGCTTAGAAAAATCAAAATATGTATACAATAATCAACACGTAACAAGAAGTCCATGTTAATGAAAAAAATTGCCATTACCCCATTGCTGCTTGTTTAACATGTCTTCAAATATTAGGGAAGGTTTTTGGGGTCCAGATTTTAGCATTGGAGGGCTTTGTGTTGCTCAGTGTATTTTTGGTTTGAAATACATTCAAGCTCAACTAATTCATGATTTATGTTAAGAGTCACGTCAAATGTTGACCATTGCCGCTAGCGTTCAACATTCCCTTGCCCTAGTGTTCTGCATTTTTTTATTTCAACAGTTTCCTATCAAAATTCCAACTCGGGTAGGGCTTGTTTAAGAAATCTTTGCAAAGGTTACAGATTTAATTGCAGCAATAATGTTTGAATGGCAGGACTGATTTCCAGAAAAAGATTCCGATTTGATTTAGTATACATGCACACACGCCAGATGTGGGTGATGTTTCTGCAGTTGTTTTGCTCAATGAGAGCTTTTTATAAAGTGCTCTAGGAAAACCAGAAGAGTGTCCCAGTTACGAGAAAATTGTCGAAACATTTTAGCTGGGGATCTATACTCTGGTGTTCAACACCTGCTTCCAACTGAAAAGAAAATTTCTGAACTCGAAATTTGTGTGAATGACTGTCAAACTTGATTCTTCTTGTCTCCTCTCTATACATGTCGGTGGATGCGGGTCGTTTGGCGGCTGCCTGATGAGGCGCCCTCGTATGCCATTGGCTCGACCACGTTCAACGTTTTCATCTGCATGAAATTTGCTCTTTATAACTGAATTCATTAATATTTTATTATTATTTTACTGATGGATGTTAGTTACTGAGTACGTGTATTGTAGGGCTGTTACAGCCATGAGTTTGTGTAGTAGTGGCTAATGAAGCAGGGTCTTAATCTACACCATTCCAGTATCGCTCAAAAGGGGCGTGGTTTCTTTTGGATTACTTTGCCGAATGCCCCTGTGAGAATTCTCACAATCAGAGTCCGGGGGTCGGCCAAGCTCAGTGTCTTTCACGTACACATAACTCCTCGAAATCAGCAGAAAGCAGACAAATCCCAGGGTCATGATCGTGGCAAGAAGGAGAAAGTAGTACTCCAAGTGACCGTAGTTGACTTCATTAGGGATCCACTCCGCCCCTGCAATTACAAATGGAGCGAAGTGCAAATTCAAACTTGATTTCCCCAGACCATATGCCAATGGTTTAACTCCGAAATCAAAAGAATTTGACTACACTTGTAGCGGGACAGATGGGAGAAATTCCTTTCTGAAAACTGACAAGATGGTTTGAAATTTTCCAAATCCATTCTTGATTCTCCATTCTTGAGGACAATCCTACCCCTTAGTGTATGTAAAATCATACTGCAATCGGGGGATAAGCCTTGTCAGGATTAATGTTTGGAATAATCCACAATGTATAAACTACCTTTCTTATCTGATTTCCCAACATACCACACAATAATTTTCTTGTAATGCTTCTGACCACCTCCTGCTATTCAGCATAGAGGTGAGATGTATCTAAAAGCAAAAGCACGCAAGCTGCATCCAAGAAATTGTATCACTAAGCGATCAGACCGCTCATTTTATAACACTGCAGTCAGGTACCTAAATGAGAATTTTAAATAAATTTTAAATATATATATATATACAGTCTGTGTTTGTCTCTTTTTTTAAATCTTAACCTAATTTAATCAAAAATAGACTGTAATTGTGCTTTTGTGAATATTTTAGATATACATGTATTTTAGGTTTTACTGAGCGAGCAGTCAAGTAATTTCTACTATTTGTACTCTTTATGAAATTGTAGCAATAAATTTCTATTCTTTTCCATCACACACCTGGCATTGCGTCATGCTCTCTTCTGGTCTCTGGTGACTGTATAAACGCTCGTAATGTAAGATCAAGCGCATATAGGCCTAAAAACATAATGACGTCACGCTTTGTTGACGTGCATTTTCTGATGGGGACTCGACAGATCGCGTCCCACATCACTATCATTGGAAAGCGCACACGTAAACAAAGGGAGACGTTATAGTAATGCTGATCTGTTATTCTTTGTCTTTTGGAAAGGAAAAAACGAGCTGGAAGAAGAATAATAAACATTGTATCCTACACCAGGCAAGATATGGGACCGAAAGTTACCCCCCTTCCCTGTCCAATCCCTATACAAACTCTAGACTATTGTTACCTAACACATCCCCCTAGAAGTCTGTAAAGAATTCCTGAGATTCCCATCAGGCAATGACCAACACAGAGACGGGGGGGGGTTTCTCTCCGTCCCATATCTCGCTTCAAATGTTGTATCCACGTACCAAGTCATCTATCTGTCATATGGATCAAGCATCTAGACTAGGACCTGGCGCCTTACGCTGTCAATCAAATTTGACTATAAATGCTCTCTGCATCGACTTAATTACACGTATATAAAGGCGTATTTGCATATGCAGGCTTTGAATGCCTCGAGTTGTTCCACTGTTTCTCGATCACGTGATTCAAGGCAACTTCTGGACCAGGTGTTTAAGAAATGTCCAGCATTCACAAAACTTCAGTCATACTCTTTGTGCCATTGTGACTGATGTTTTGTGAATGCTGGACCTTTCTTAAACACCTGATAGAGGAGTTGCCTTGAATCACGTGATAGAGAAACTGTTGAACAGCTATACCCAGCAAGAAATGAGACCGAGGGGTACCCCCCCAACATGTCCAATCCCTATACACATTCCAGACTATTGTTACTTTACACATCCCCAAGATGTCTGAAAGGAATTCCTCAGATTCCTGCGAGACAATGACCAACACAAAACAGGGGGGGTTCTCTCCGTCTCATACCTTACTGCATATGTGAAGAGCTCAAGGAAACTCAAAGCCTACATATGCAAATACACTGACTGTACATCAGGAAAAAGTTGATGCCGTGAGAATTAGTCAAATATGCATTTTATTGAGAGTGTCAATCACATGCAAAGAGTTATTAGATGCATCAGTCAAACCGGGGCTTGATCTTTAATTTGGCAAAGAGACGCATTTCTTGATCCACGTTTTCACGTTTGCCATTAACTGAAGTGAATCAATTTCTAACCGATAACTGACTTGCCTGATGTGATGGCATTGGCAATTGTGACAAGCAGTGATCCAACGTAGCTGCCAAGTCCAAATGTTAAGAGGAAAAGCCCCATGATGACTCCTTGCATGGATTCTGGAGATTCAGAGTATGCAAACTCCAGGCCTACAGCGAGGAAAGACATTTGCAAAGCAAGAAATAAAATGCTCTTAAACGGGATGCCACATTTAAAAAATCAATTTCGCACCTACTACGTCACTATGCACTTTTTCCATCTCGAATAAACAAAATAATCATATCTGGAAATCATTAGTGCAAATATATTCCAAACGGAGGGCCCATGAACGTGCTAAAGTATAGGCCCCCACACTTAGATGCACGTTTTGCCACGTGGAAGTCAGGCGGATTTGCGCTAAAAAAAGCTATATTGTATGTGTTTTACGCCATTCACAATTCCCCCATTTTACAATAGCGATTATGCGGAGATCACACACAGCAACGTATCCGGGCTTTTGTAGAGCTTGTGATGTGGGTGATTTCAATGGGGAAGGAAATAATACAGTAGGCCTATTGTGCACGGTGTGACAGAACATGGGAACTCAATGTTTCAGGCCACCACCAAGAAAGGTATCTACATCCTGCGTCTGCGGCTTGTTAAAGATTTGAAGGTTTGCGTGGTAGAGTGTTGCTAGGCAACAGGAGTAAGTTTCTGGGAACACCATGTAGAAATTCCCTTTTGTGGGCTCGTCAGGTAGTCCAATGAACCGCGAGGGGACTCGATGGTTCAGACATCATGCTCTGTTGAAGAGGTTGATAGCAGCTACCCGAATGATGAAACCACTGAATACTTAGCTGCATATGCTAGCAGCTCATCGCCTTGCAGGGAAATAACATGCGGACATACGGGAACAAGTCCAAGTAATGCAGCATCCAAACCTGATCACAAGGCAGTGGGAACGAGAGTAGTCTGATTACAAGCGCCAATTGGAATATTATATTACGATTTCACATTGTTCAGACAAAAGTTGCGTTGCAAACAAATTAATGCTTGGGACAGCTTCTCGTGTAACAGGATTTTGATGCTGTGCATTCTTTCAGAATTCTATCGGTGTTCACAGGATATCCAGTGGACCTGCACTTACGCCCGTTTCAAATGTCGTTTCAAACGTCGAATTTAATTGAAAAGCCCAGTCAAACTTAAATAAATCCAGCATGGCGGACCAGCACAACATGAAACGTGATACTGCGATCTTTCAGCCAGAGTCACAAACTAAACAGATTTAGATCCGGCGAGCACTAGGTCTACTAGTACTTTATTTCTCGAAAAACATCGAGGCCTTTTTATTCTCAAGGCCAGATGTTATGGTTCCCGGCGATCTTGCAGTGACGTCTCAATGAAATACGCCTAGTATCACCCAACCCCGGGTGAACAGTTCGATATCATTTGAGTCTTATTCTGGCATTTGGACGGGAGTTTTAGTTTAAAAGGTCAGCTTTGAGTTTATCTTATATCAAGCATGAATTTGAAAGAGAAATGGTGTAACTGAAACCCCATCTCCCACAAGCTCCGTCTAGCAATCTGCCCCGTGCGTTTCGAGAAATTTCTAGTTTAGTCGCCATATTTGTTGAAGCGTTTGTTTGTCGATGATTATTTCTCGACTCTACTACACGTTGTGAACATGCGCATTCCTAATTATCAACAAAGATTTGGACCAACTTCGAATAGCAATTGTATTCGATTCGGCAGTAGCATGACACAGCGTGCTTCTGCTCAGTGACATAAGTACGGCAGGCCCTGTAAGAGCCAAAATCCTCTGCTGTGCCGAAATCAATTTGCCGAGCCAAATTGGTTTCAAACGTCGTGCTTTTTGCCGTGCCGAAAAAAAATCAAGTTGAATAGACCGTATTCGCGGCGTCCCTAATTTCAGTCGTATTCCCCGACGTGGTGTATTTTTTTGAAAACGGAAAATAAAAAAAAACCAACAATAGGCCTATTCTACGATTTCATTCCGACCCCCAAAATCACCTGGTACCATCCAATTAAGGGTTTCAAATTTATACTGTACTTTCAGGAATACGACTGAAATTGGGGACGCCACGAATACGGTCCATTGTATTCGACAGGGCACAAGCACAACGTTTGAAACGGGCCTTAGCTCCTTACCTGTAATGATCGTGAACACCTCACTGGCTCCTATAAGTGTGTACTGAGGAATCTGTGCGAACACGGACAAGTAGGACGCGTTCAAAACCTTGTTGGCCACTTCCTGTTTGAAGTATCCGTACTCCTCGATGCTTGCTTTTCGGGCAAATTCTATTCCGGCTGCTAGCACCATGGCTAGTACGATCAAGACCATTCCAATACCTGCATGACAAAAGGTGTAAAACAATTCTTGTATCTTAATCCTAACAGTACGTCCCAAATTCTCTAATTTCAATACGATTTTACATACACCCTTGGGGGTTAGGGTTAATGGATGACTAGTCAGAAGGCACACCCTTTTTCATGTCCACATAAGGCTGAATTTCTAACAGAAGATCCCCCCTCGGAGAAAACTGTACAGTGAATCCTTTGTTTGTGTTAAGTTCATCCCTCCGATGGCATCTTAAGGGTGGGCCTACCTACCTAAAGTAATGGTAATAGAAGGGTTAACGTTTGCTCGGTGAATTCATTAAAATGAGCACATTTCAGATTGATCAAATTTTGAATCGACGGCTTCGTAGCCTCAAATTTGCATGAAAACACTGAAAATGAACCATGCCACGATGTGTTTTTCATCTTACCAATTCGTTTCAGTTTGGTGAGAGGGTATCCAATCCTGGCCATAAACGGATAGAAGACACGATCCACGAAAGGAATGAGGACAAGAATTATTCCAATGTTGACGAGGTTGATAGCTGCTACCGGGACGGTGAAACCGCTGTAGGCGAGACGCATGCGCTCACCTTGCAGCAAAAAAGTTGTGGAGTTCTGGGGACAAGTCCAGATAATGCAGCATTACAAGATGTTTGTATTAGGCGATGTGAACAAGAATGGTCTGTATCTAGCAAGAAATGAGACCGAGGGGTACCCCCCAACATGTCCAATCGCTGTACACACTCTGAACTATTGTGACCTAACACATCCCCCTAGATGTCTGAACAAATTCCTCAGATTCCAGTGAAACAATGACTAACACAAAGCGGGGGTTCTCTTCGTCTCATATCTTGCTTCATATGTTACAGGCAGTCAAATCGAACCGAACAATCGAATTAGTCGCAGAGTTGTAGCCTCGAATCTCGAGTCGCTCTTTTTGTGACTCATGACTTTCACTCGTAGGCTAACTATCAGTTTTTTGACTTGTGACTTGACCTTGCACATTATGACTTGTTACCAACGCAAGTCAAAAAACTATTTGACTTAACCCGTTACAGATTTAAACTATACTTATCAATAATATTTACGCCTTGCATTCTTAAAATAATCAGCGCAAGACTTCGTTTGGCTTGCGACTTCTATACTCCGGTCTTTTCTGCCCAATTCACGCACCTATCAGTTTGCTGTTGCTACTCTTGCAGGTTGTTCAGCAGTGCTTTCATCCTTTTCCCCGATTTTTCGGGGGGAGCCAATCAACAGCTTCGTTTGAGCTTCAATTGAATTATTCATATGACTTCATTACGTCACTCTGCCCAGAGTTGGAAAACAAACGTGGCGTTCCGATCTCGAAAATTTCCGCGTAATATGCTGCGTTTAAGTGCATGGTTGCAACATGCCTTCAATACTCGCCAATTTTTTTTAAAAACAACTACCCAGATTAAGATATCTGTTGAGCATTAATCCTGTAAATCTTCTCGGGGGCGGGGAAATGGGCCAAATCGCGATACTAAAGCGAGTACATGTAGAGATTATACCAAACTATGGAGGAACACTGTGACCGTGTGCGACAATGTAAGACAAAGCAAAACTTAAAATTGGGTCCAATTTTCGGTTACCTGCGATCATCGTAAGCTACTTCCCAAGACTATAGAAGGATATTTGTGAGTCCTCAACTCAAAGCGTCTTAATGTTAAACATGATGGTCGCTATTACTGTTATTACAGGCCAACACTGACAAAAATATAATAAAACATTGTGACTCAACAGCCTGTTAATTCAATCAGTTGTTTCAGTTTACGTCATTTGTGAACGTGAAGCTTGTTGACATGTTTAAAGTTATTTGCACAACTTCCGCCAATCATCACTCAAGTGTATGAATAATGCAGATTTTACCATTATTAAAATAGTCTGTTGCCCCCCTGCTGGTGGAACAAATATTAAACATGTATAGAGCTTTTTTCCTGTGATGTCACAATCGTGCTAGACCTTCATGTGTTGTGATGGCAATGAGTGCATAGTGTTGTGATGGTAATCTACTTATTAAAGGTAAACTAGTCAAGCATGCAGCTTTTGCACGTGCGCTTGCACGTGGTTGAAGCTGCCCGTATGCGATCACCGTGGCCAAGGTGTCCCACACGTGGTGGTATTGTTTACATGGAGGGCAATCTAGTCACGTGGGTGAAAAGGTCTATATTATGGAGTTCTATAGCCGCTCGCGTCGCGTCGTCCCGTCGCCGCGACGGCTCCGTTGCGTCGTGGCGTCGCCTCCTTTCTTATTTCTCTTAAGGTGAATTTAATGTGTCGCCTTGTGTCGTCACGTCGTGTTGTTTCTTGATGCCGTGCTCGTTGTGTGAGCTCGTCTTGCCGTCGTGTCGTGCAGTCGTGTCATGCCGTCGCGTCACCTGTCATTGAATGGTTTCTATGCACTGTGCGTTAGGCCATCGTGTCCGGCCGTCGTGCTGTTGCGTCCTGATGTCTTGCCGTCACGTCGTGTCGTCGTCCATCATGTCGTGCTGTCGCGTCGTGTCGTCGTCCGTTGTATTGTGCCGCTGTGCCTTACTGTTTCTAAAATGGCTGGTGGTTATTAAAGGCAAGAGATGGCGTATGTTACAAGTCATGGAATGAATAATGTGCGTGTAAAGGGCCACAAGATTTGACCATGAAGCATGGTATCTACTGATGTTGAACTTAACTGTCTCTAAGGGTACCCCTATTTCCACCAGTAATGAGGTGACGGCGGGAGCGCGATGCGACGCTACAGCAAGACAGCAGCACACGGCGCAACTACGCAGCGGCACGGCGCGACAGGACGATATGACGGAATAACTTCATGCATTATACACAGCATAAAAGTAATGAAAAAGGACGCGAAGCCACGACGCCATGGCACGATGTGACGGAGCCGTCGTGGAGTTGCGTCGTGGCGTCGGGACGACGCGACGCAATTTTGGTGGCTATAGAACACCATCGTTACAGCTCTTTGCAAACACCCAAGTGTGGTTCGTGTTGTGGATCGCGGAATGAAAGGAAGGTCTTGGAACCAAGGCTAAGCTGTGGCTTGAAATCACACATAGCGCAACTTAACTTGTACATAGACAAAAGACTTGTGAATTTGCTTGCGCTCAGATCAAATTGACTTGTGACTTGACTTGACCTGTGATCAAATGACGTGTGACTTGATTTGACTTAATTGACCTGCGATCAAATGACTTGTGACTTGTCTTGCTCAAAATGACTTGTTACCACCTCTGGTTTCCCCTTGAGTATATCAAATTTTCCACACACCCTTACTTAACATTAAAAAATGGTTTAAGTAGAAGAAGTACATTAAGGACTGACCATGATGACTTTTGATACAAACTTTACTTTGTAAAGGAAAAACGGATAATACGCAGCGATGTCCGTATTGCTCGTGGGAGGCCAATTAATCCTCCGCCGCCGAGGAATGTTATGGCCATAAAAGCAAGGATTTTTACACCGAAAATAATTCATCAAAAAACCATAAAACTGTATAACGCAGAAAGAAAGATGAACTTGTGTGATCAGCCTCACAAAAAAATCTTTGAGAAATATTATGTCAGTTTCGATCATTATCAACAAAGCTCGCTTGAGCCGACATTTCTTATCTTGTCGACTTAGCATCGGAAAACCGGTGTATCCATTCCGCGTGTCGCATAAATTGGCTTAAGCACTGAGGACTCAAAGACCGGGGAGCTTAACTTTACGTGGTGCTTGGTCTTCCCGTGATAACTACCCAACAAGTGAAACGTGGGAGCAGATGGTTATACACATGATACAGCGAACAAAACCCAAATACATTGCTGCAAGTAAGGCTTATTTTCAATTTTTTTTTTTTTTGTAAGTTGGAAGATTGTCGGTCAAACGGGCTGGAGCCTGTAAGGATGCAGGGTGATGGCGCCCTACCGAAAGACATGCAGCTATACCAAATATTTTGTGCGGACCCTGTCATATTCGTCATAGCGACAATGTAGTAAAATCTAATCACGTAACATGTGTAATATTGTTGAGGACAACTGTTCGTAGACTAGTCCAATTTGAATGAGTTCTGTAACAAGCAAAGCAAACTTTATCAGTGGTTTTAAAAGACCAAATGTAACTCACACACCTGGACGTATACAGTCCAGTAGAAGATGATGACGAGAAAGACAGGCACAATCCTTCCCAGGGCTTTCACCTCATTCACCTTCACATCGGGAAAGTGACCGCCAAAGCTCTGCTTGGCACGATCAAGCCAGCTGGTCATCTGATCTTTCCTAGTGTTGGGCTGACGAAGTCTGGTGAAGGCCTCCCAGATGATTTTGGCAACTGTTGTGAAAACACTCCCTTGACAGAAGACCAGAAAATAAAGTGAGAAATTCTCTATAAAGGTGTCTGTGCATCAAGGCAAAATGCTGGATGATTATCGCTTGGGGACCAATAACCAACAGTGTACAGCCACATTCGTCCAGCCATGTTAACCAAATTTTTCAGGACAGCGTGAAGTCCATTTATGTCACATTTCACTGAACAAGTTTCCCAGGTGAGGACAAATTTTAGTAAAACACAAAAGGAAAATCAGGAACTTCCACAAAACACTGCATTGTCATTTACACAGGAGGATGGATCACTCAAAGCAAAGCCACAATACGGGCATTTCACAACACTGCGCCTCCGAGAGTTTGCAACGCGTTGACCAATTACAATGCGCGAAATCTGTCGACCTAACGAGCGTTTGGAAAGGGTCGGCAGATTTATTTTGCGCGTTGTGATAGATCAACACGTTACAAACTCTTGGAGGCGCACTTTGGCGAATCGCCTGTATTGACCTCGGGGCTTCATTATGATTATCATTTTTATTAGGCATCACAAAGAAGATGCATCACCATACCGAACAATACGAAATCCAAACACCAATACAACAGGAAAACTAGTGGAACATGCCAGGAGTAAAGAAAACTTCACTTAAAAAGTATGATCCGAAAGGCTCTTACTCCTAAGAATTCGGGCATTCAACTAACCATGGATGTAAACCTGCCGTTCACGATCTAAAATGTCTGACTTTCAAATACTCCATTGCAACTTTAAACTGTTTCGAAATGCTGTGAAGAGTTGACCAGAATTTTGCATTTTCAAGAAAAGAAATTGAATATTCAAAAATTTCTCTCACCCTCTGGTGCCCTCATTCGATACCACTTTCGACCAATCAAGAGCGTGATAATGGCCAGAATCATGGAGATGGCTGGGATGGCAAACCCAACATCAAATCCAATATTCTGTTGCACATACACGACGACTGAAAAGGAGACGGCGGAACCCACGTTGATGAACCAGTAGAACCTAAACATGAAAAATGTTATCATGCAATCGTCTCAACATTGGAAATTAATGTCAGTGTATGTATGTTGTAAGCTCCGAGCTGGACCAGGAGAGGGCGCAATGATCCTCAAGCAATGCAGGCGCCTTTGGTAGGAACTGCATTTCGCTGGTTCACAGACGACTACATGTATGAAAGGCACGCTTTAGGGTGGCATCGCTACCAGCAAAATGAACAGTCCCCACCAGCATGGCTCTTTTCAGCCGATGAGGGGGCGCTTCTGCTCTGATTTAGCAAGGTATTAAAGCCGATGAATATGTAGGCCTATTCACTGGATGTATATGTGACGATCTCCGATGCCATTTTCTTCAACGAGTTTGCTTTGCTTGCAATAAGAAAAAGCAAATTGAGCTCTGTGTATTTACGTACTGATCACTGAGTTTGGCAACCCTGTGAACTTGAAAGTGGACATTGTGTAGATGAAAAATGTTGAGGGGTCCTACTAAATTACGCTGTACAGCGCTTTTTAAAGGACTTTCAATAATTTCCAAAGTGGCAGCCTTTTTTTGGCAACTTTCGATTATTGGATAAGTCACATTATGTGTACATCAGCCCGAACAAGTTCCTCAATCCTCCAAAACAACAGGTGAAGGATGAAGAATGTCAGCAGCCAAAAGCGTGGGGCAGAATCCCCCCCTTTTGTTTTTCCTATGTCATCGCAGTGCAAATATCTTTTAGTCATTCTGACACCCACTTGTGGAAATTGGAGACACTGTACTTGCACAACGCGCATTTTCTCAAGTCAGTTCAACCTAAAATCCATGCTTTTTCTCAATGCGTGTACAAAGAGTACAGTGCACACGGGATGACAGTTCATGAGGTCATAAACTTTCAGATGATCGCAAAACCACACGACATTTGGAATGGAAACTGCACAGTTGTATCGATAATGAGTAGCTTTGCATGCATGCTATTAGTAAGTTTCACCGCGACCAGGCATGTGACAGCTGAGTTAAGTTAGGCGAGCAAACACCACTTCCCCCCGGCAGTGAAATGGTCCCCTAATCCGACTTTTCAACTATGTGACAATGCACTTAAATACGCATGTATAGACTATCAGACATCACAATCTCACCAGTTAAAGAAGGACTTGACAGGTCCTTCTCCAAGATCATCCAACTGCTGAGCTCCGAAAGGGCCAACGTTCGATTTGATGCCTCCGGTACCGATAGCAATCACGGCAATGCTGAACAGGAAGAAACCTCGATGTTGGCTGTTTGTCAGCCCAAGATGAGCGCCGTACTTGGTGTAATCAATGGAGACGATGGGCAGCAAAGTTGTGCCTGGATGTGAGAATAAGACCAAACATGGAAGAAATTATGCAAAGTTCTAAAGGCTGCCATTACTGCGCACTGCAGTTGCAATGTCTGCAGAATGACAAAAGAAGTACATTTATTGTGTTACCTTCTTGCAATCCCATTTTGGTACGTGAAAATTAAAGAAATCAATTCATTCAAGGAATCAAGTTCAACTGCAAATACATGTACATGTACGCTACATGCATAGTATACGGTGGTTGACTGATCTTGTTAACTATTTGTGGCTATATCCACCAACCGCGGTTAATGGCATCAGTAGTTAATAAACCGAGGCCTTGAGATTCTGTGATGAAGCAACCAGCGCCAGTATGCGGTTCTTAGTTAACTTTATGCATGTATTTACCGGTAAATGTAATACAGGACGTATGTTCATTAACATTTATTTGCTGACATCATGGAGGAACGACACAGAAGGAGTTGTAATTCAGGCACTTCAAAGCGTCCAATGATGGTAGCCGCCGAGTCTGACGAATAATAGAAAACATTCCAAAAATGCCTTATCGCAGCCTGCATCCTAGCTGGACAAGTGGGGCCAGTAATACCCTGGCGATACTTGTAGTTTTTTGCTTGCAATTAAATACAAACCATCGATGTGACCAGGAAATAGAGAGAAAAAATCCTGATATTAGACCTACTTTTACCATCATAAATAAACTTTTGACATTTTGACACACTGTTTCATTATCCATGCAAAGTTTGTAATTCTAGTCTCCTCCGTCCAACATACATCAGTGTCTAAGACTTGGAACGAATTTGGCTAAGACTGGCCACAAAATGTTTACTACTACTGGAAAACTTAGTTCATTAGCAACAAAATGCGTTATTTCATTATAAGGAGTGATCGTGAAATTTCATAAAATACGCCTTTGTACAAATGCCATTAAAAAATGATTCAAACAAAACACAAAATCTTACAAACAGCCTGGCTATTTATTCCTAAAAGAAGTCCAGAAGAAAGCGTTCGATAAGGGCAACAACTGCACTTGAACACCTCGGGTATACAGCCTAATAAAAGCAACTGCGCAAACACTACATTTGATGATGTTGTCGGTTCATATCAAGCACCCACGATGGCATGAATATTCAACTTCCTATACTGCAGTACACAACGTTTTAGGGGGCAGATTACCAACGAAAAATTGCGGCGACGATCATGGGGTACAAAGGGAGCTTATGGTTGCAAAACAGGTGGTGGGTAGCAGGCGTGCGCTGCGCTCCGGCTATGGCCATACCGGGCATGCCAGAAAGTGGTAATCGGCCAGATGTTATAGCCCAGGCAGTTCAAACTCCTTCTGTGTCCTTCCTCCATGCTGACATCATCTTGAAGATCACGCCTATCAGACGGATATGAATTCTTTAGACTTTGAGGAGACTCTTTTGCGGGGGATTCATGTACAATTGTACAGGTGCATGTACGGATATCAAATCCAAACGGACCAGGTGCAGACAACAAGTATACTGTACAAACCTGGACGAACAATAATAATTTCCACTGTAACCAGGTCAAAACCTGAGCTTGCAATAAATGAGGCACACCAAGCTTGCTTCTCATACATTCATCTTGACTGTCTAACTTTAGCATGAACGGATGAAGGAATTTAACACCTGCACTTACATACCTACGCAATAAATGAGAGCCGCTCCAAGGATAGCATTGAATTTCCCCGCAACGGTGTCCGCAATCCATCCACCAATCACCGGCACAAAGTAGGATGTTCCCGTGAAGATCAAGGCGATCGTAGTTGCCTCGGCACTGGTGAATTTCAGAACATTGGTGCAATACAGCACCAGATTCCCCGCGACGCTGTAATAGGTCAGCCGCTCGCACAGCTCACAGAAAAGTATGCACAGGACCACTCCAAGCCGATCCCGTTGGAAACCAAAAGACTTGGTGGGAGCCGGGGTATCTACCTCCACGGAGGCTGTCCTCTCTCCATTCCTCTTGCTTTCATCATCCTCCACCGGGTTGAGTTCCATACTCTCGTTGATTTCGTCGTAAATGTTTGACCTTCACAGATATGCGTTGGTTGTATTCGTGTGGTGGCACTTAGCTTCAACCCGACTGCACCTGCAACAAAACCTGAAAGCAAATTATTGTAAACGCGAAATTTTACAAGCTGCGTGCAAGTCTAATAGTTATTCTGACACTGAATGTGAAAAGTCTTCAGAACTACCTCATTTGGCCTAATTTCGGAAAATAATGTCTAAAACTGTTGCAAACTTGCATAATTTCGGTACCTTACGTGCTGAAACTATGTTTGGAAAATGCAAACTACTCATGTGATATGTCCAGGGTGACTACCCTAAAAAAAAGCCAGCCTGTTAATAATAACAATAACAAAGCTTTATGTAGCGCATCACACCAAAGTCTCGTGCGCTTGAACGGAAACCACAATTAAAAGCAATTATTGGAACAGGTAAGATTTAAGGAGTGTTTTAAATCCATTTTCGTTATTGACAGTTCTGATCTGGTGTGGAAGAGGGAATTAGGGTATTCAGGGAATACGATGACCTACCCCAGGAATTCACTGGAGCGGGGGGTCCATCCCCCTAATAAAAGGAAGAAAGACCGGTGTGGTTAGTTACTATTCCTCGTTAGACGTTCGACATTCAATTTTGAACAAGTGACTGTTTGATATTCAACGTTGAATAAGTAACCATTTAACTTTTGGGATGCACATTCCTAAGAGAGATGGAGTGCAAAAGGGACAAAAAAACAAACAAACAAACAAACAACCCCAACACCCCAACAAACAAACAAACATACACCCCAACAAACTGTGTCAACCACAAATAAATCTTAAGGGCTTGTTTGACCCCGAAAAACCCCAAGCCCCGCGTTGCCAAGAATCGTTGCTGATTGAGGAGAATAGCATCAGATTCAATGTAATCTCCAGGCGGGGCATGGGGCTTAGCTATTTTATTTCGATTTGGGAAAAGTGTGGTGTGATGCATTCACTTTCCCACTCTGGTTTGCAAGTGGAGAACTCCACCGAAAACACAAGTTAATTTCGCCCAAGCTTCTTTGACTGTGGAAAACTGCCTTTGCCCTGGATGAAATGGAGCTAGGCAACAAGGGTTGCTAAAGTGAGAATATTTCGATTTTTATATTATTTTGATTAACTGAAATAGTTTTAATGTAATAGCAAGTATGATAAAAACTAACTTTTAGTTTTCCTCATAATTACACTGCCGTAAAAAAAAACGTCGCCAACATTTCAGGGCTTGTTTGACCCCGAAAAACCTGCTGCCCTTGGTTCTCTCTGAGGGAAAGAGTCGTAAATTGGGTACATGCGAATGGACCAGATGCATGCTGGCGGAGTGGTTTTTTTTTTGTCCCTTTTGCACTCCATTGTTAGGGCCTATCAAATAAAACGGTTTACTTGCTCAACACTGAATGTCGAAACTCGATCGAGGAACGAGGAACTAACTTCACATCATGGAAGAAAGCTGGAAACTCTCATTCGCATGTTAGTCTCTCTTTGTGCAGATTTATTGTCAATCACATCCAGTATAAGAGAAATGATTCAAAGTTGTGCCGACTTATTTTGATTGCAATGTAAGGTAAATGAAGACCCTGAAATAAAATAACCAAACCCAAGTTGGTCACACTTTACAAACATCTAACAAAAGAAGCACTTTGCACTAACAATAAGCGTCCATTGTTATTGTAGCGTACTTCTTTTATTACAATCATTTGCAATAGTTTAGGACCACTCATGGAAAATGCAGTAACTTGAAGGAAAACCAAACTTAAACCAATCAGTCATGGCAACTTATGTTTATGTTCAATGTGTAACCTTGGTACCTTGGTTCAACATTTTTGTCTACATTTCTATGATTTGACATGTTAACAGTCTAATATTCAGTGTTCCCTCCTTTATTTCTGATTGCTTAGACTGTTTGTTTTTCCCAAGCTGCCTTACAGAAGAATTCATTTAAATGGGTATATAGCACTACACAGATGCACCACTGTAAAATCACGTTAAGTAATCATTCAGTGAGACGGTGTAATGCAGGCCCAGTGACAGAAATACCAATAACATTCCAGGGGGTCTTAAACTTTTGCAACTGACCGTCGATGTTCAGCGTGACAGTTGCTTCAATTACCGGTATCGTCACTAAACTGCAAATTATTCATTAAAAAATCACACAGATCTCTAAACACATGTACAATGGTATACTTCAAGCTTACCCAAGTATCCGGGTATTAAAGTCACATGTGTTCAGGTGTACATGAGTAGTGCACGATTCGACGATCGCCCTCGCCGAAGATGCCACGAAAGCGGCAGAAAGCGGAGTGCTAATGCTCTGTCCTGACGTGGGGATGAGCTACATGTACAATCATGTTTTATGGCCCTACATGTACTGAACAATCTGGCTAACGTGGGGAAATTCCTGGAAGCACACAGCATACAGAGGACCGGTGTTGCAAAGTATTTGAACCCCCCAAATAGATATGGTGTCCTGTAAAATACTGAGCCCCCAAATTGTCTCCCCAAATTATCGTCAAAAATAGCTGTCTTGGAATCAAATTAAAGCCTGGTATTATTACCTTTTGAAAACTGAAGGCTTCATTTAAATCTGGTGATACGTTTGTGGAAATAAAACGGGAAGTGGAAAACAAACGTGAAAACACTTACGTAAGTGTAGGCCTATAGGTCTACACGTTCTCACCCGCAAATGTTGTTGGAATTCTAGCGCCCCCTAGTGTTACTCGTTCTCGGTCCTTGTATTTCTCAGGGTCTCTTATTTAGCTCAGCTATGCATTATGGAAATGTAGCAGAGACACTAATTTTGTATTAAGTTGTTTATGCTGTACTCTGGCGTGATCGTGTTCCTTCACTCCTTTGTCCTTGTGTTTAGTCTGCTAAGTTTGGCATGTTGGAAATTCCCCTCCACGTACGTCGCTGCGTGGTTGGGCGTGGTAAGGTTCCCTGAAATGGTAATGCTCAGAAACCTCAAACTTTGTAACTGTCAATCATTCGCCACAGATGACCGGGTAAGCACTTTCACGCACCCGGCTCTACACTTTGTACGCGTGACTTCTTATTCCGTCTCCCACCTTTTTACACACGAGACTTAGATTCTTGCACACGAATCTAGCAGGAAGTCATGTGACCCATTGGTTGAGCTGTTCAACGAAGCTCATATTTTATTAATTTATAAGCCTCTATAAATAGAGCAGATTTTCCCTAGCTCGTTGGTCAGGTGCGGCGGATCAAACCCTTGTTCCGAGAGTGAAACCTTAAACGTAGTGCGGTGGTTGGACACTTTCCGAGAGAAGTGCGATAGTAACCATTTTTATGGCGAAGAACATGATGTAACCATGTGAATGCCCAGGTAAATGTAGCTTAGCTTGGACCGATGCGAGAGCGGTAAGAACTCGCCCAGGGTGCTAGTGAGAGTCGTAGCGGCCCGTCACCGCTACGTCCGAACCGATTGCCGGACGAGACACCCCCGTGTCCCTCGCCATCCTTGCCCCGCTAACTGAGCCAGTGGTACATAGTGCGGTGATTCTATCACATTGCGGTGTGAGCGGCAATGTGGTTGGTACATACCGCTGGCCCAGTCCAGCTATTGCTAGTCACCGTGGTGGCCCAGGACAGCTCCCATGCAGGTCCACCACGGCCCGGCCATATGAGTGTAGCCTAGCTGAGCGATGCTACGCACAGTACAGTACAGTACCTACTCCGTCTGGCTTGCATTTCCAATGGTCCTGCCAAACCGTAGTTTAGTTACACTCGTATACAACTTCGCCTCTCTATAACTTTGCCTTTTGTGTGCTGTATTATGTTAAGCTACACCTTCTTCAACCCTACATTGAACTTTGATGAAGAGAAGTGAGAGCAATAAACCAACCATACAGTTTGACTGTCACCCAAACCCCTTGTTTCATGTCCACCTTTTAATAAATTGTTGACCCCAAATATCACATCCTGTAGACACTAGTAAAGCCCATGCTACCATCGATTTGATATTTAGAGAACGTAACAGTTCTAAGAGTAGGCCTACATGCACCAAAAAGAATTGCAGGTCACATGACCACACAATATCGGTTGGCAGGAGCATTTTCTTCAAATCGTGCCCGTTGTTTTTATTTAAATCAGCTTTCTGAATTCAATGCATCAATCGCTACATTATAATCCTGATTGAATTCAACTGAATTTAAAGAGTTCCCCCTCTCAAATTTAACATGGTAAAGTAAGCGAGTACGAGTTTATCTTTTATCTCCGTTTTTAGCGGCAGGTCCAAGATTATTTGCTTGGGGGTTTGGAGAAAATCTTTGTTTCTACATTCGACCGAAATATTTACCCCCAATTTTGTTCTCTTTGGAATAAAGTAATACGGGGTATTTGTCGCCGTTGGTGAGGGCATGTGATCACCTTTTTGTCTTTAATTAACTGTACCGGCAAAATAAGACGAGAACAGGGGGGGGGCTCAGGATAAGCTTCTGGTTTTATTAGGATTTCTAATTATGCTAGTCATTAAGCAGTGAAAAGCCTACCCAGGGACAACAAAGTTCTGAATATAAAGTAAATTTTATTCAAGGCCTCCAGAGCGAGAAATTCGTTTTAGTTCGTTTATAGGAACTGTACAAGAAATATATTCTCCAGTTCGTTTGAATGACAGCTATATTTCGAAACATCGTTTCTTTCTTTTTTGAAACAAATCGATTTTGACGAGATATAATTTTTCCAAGTTTGTTTTAATGCGTTATTTGAAGTTCAAAATCAACTCGAAGTAATTAACATGGAAAATATCTCTTGAAATTAGATTTGGTAAAAAATATATCTCGTAAACACGAGGTTGAAATCAATACCCCTCATAAAAAGAACTTCGAAAAAAAAAATCCACTTTTTGAATATGCTTGGTGGCACTGCAGGGCTACCGTACATAATACTTTGACAATAATCATGTACAAATTTCGGCCGCAAGTTATTTTTTTGCTTTCGCAACTTACAGAGAAAAACGTGTACCACACTGCGAAATCACACAGAAAAGAGAGGCACTTACGGGGCTTCGTAATTCTGTGTGCGATTGTGTGTACGTGTATTTTGCAACCTGGACCTGCTCCTCTCAGCTCAGATATCGGGTAGCTCGGCGTGCCAGGATGACTCGAGAGATATCGGTGGCCTTCCACCGACGCGACATGAACCGACCAGTGATTTTGAGCTCAGTCCACACCGGGAAAGCTATGGTGTTGAGTCAAATCTACTCAGACCTGCGACCTCACGTACATGTACATTCCAAGAGGAAGGAAACATTGGCATGTGGGGGGGGGATTTTCGTCTTCCATCTGATCAGGATGGGGGATCGGATTTCTTTCACGGGTGAAACACGGAAGTCATTTTTGAGAAGAAATCCACCCCATCCCAGCCATGGAGGAAAAAACACATTCATTGTTCCTCCATGCCCTAACTAAGACCTGGATATGCCACTCTAAGCCCTTTAGGAGAGGTGACAATCACCGTCAGATACGAGTAAAACTTGCGGTTGGCGCAAATAGTCGGAATAGCTGAAAGCGCCATTAAAACGAAATAACAACTGATAAAAATTAAAATTTTCAAGCTCCAGATGTAAGGTACACCCTTACTTGGATGCAAAGAGCATTCCAAATCGCTCAAAGCATTGTAGCAAATCGATGTCCAACATCTGTCAACTCGACTTGAAGAAAATTCATTTCTCTTGACAAACTTCAAAACCCACATTTAGCGCTTACACTACATGCAAGTTAATATTACTGGGAAACAAACTCCCCAAACAATCTTTGGTTATTTGCACCTCGACCTGTGATATAATTATGTAAATATATGTACTGTCTAAGCTAAAGTCTTACAGTTTCTGGCTTGAACTGGCTTTTACATGAAGTCATCTGGTTCCACGTCCTACGGGTATAAGGCACGAGTGGCAGTTGTACGCTCCATGAAGGAATCATGGTGGCGATCATGAAGGCAAGTGTTACCGTGGCTTAATTTGCACACGACATCTAAAACTCTAACAGGATTACTCAGGCGTATCTCCGCGATTTGCCCGCTTATTATTTACATGTCAAAGGAATTGAACACCGCTCTGTGACACGGGCTTTGAAATGTGATATCGAAGTCCGTGAGGGCAGTGGGGCAGTTCCTTCCTCTATGCTGGGAGTCGATACTGTTAACTTGCAGTCGAATGGGAGCAAGAAACTTGAAGGACTTTTGAACTGATTTTTTTCCAGGCGCAGATCCAAGGGTTCGACCCCCCCCCCGACAAATACGTTTTTTACAATTGAGGAAAATAATTTCCAAAAATTGAAGTAAATTTACAAACAAAATAGCATTCCGCAGATTCTTAATAATGTGTGCACGGTGTTACAAAAAGGAAACTATAGTCCGCAAAAATGAGACATAAAAAAATGGCCTAACCCTGTTAAACATTCCTGGATCCGGCCATGTTGCCATGTTCATTTACCCCACTCTGGTTTGTTTAATAAAAAAAAACCTGCTTGGGTCAGATAAACTGATCTCTTTTTCCTCCATGCATGAGCTTATAAGCATCAAAATATGTTGGACCATAGGAAGTTGTCAATCCGATACCGTTGGTTATCGACCGCACCGCGTGTATCACCATCACACGTACATTACACGTATACCTGCGTGTCTGTCCCGGCAGTTGTTGGGATATACACTGGTCAATTAACCCATTATGAGGGGACCAAAACCGTTCTAGGGACAGAGATATGCCTAATGAAAGAAAAGAGGAATTTCACATTAGCGCCGTCTGCGCATATCTGCATCGAAACCGAGGCTCTCTGTGTTGAACTTCTTCGCGCGCGCCCGCGGAGTCGACACAAGTACATGCAGTATCCGGCTCGTAAGTGTGACGCCCCCTCAGTTTAAACCACGCCCACTGCACATGCGGATACACCACCACCGCAGGTACGTTAGTTCGCGGTAAATTGCCGTTATTTTTTCTTTTGATTTTACGTGTCGAGTCATCCTGAAAGAACCTTCCACAAAAATTTGCAGCCTAAAAAGTCTAAATTTAGCATACCTTTATGTATTTTGTGTCTTGACTCCTTACTTTAAATCGTCTGATCGTATTAAAAATTAAAGCTGACACATACAGCCTCGTTTTCAAACGCAGAAGTGCGCAGATCGACGCTAAAAGCGTCGTATTGGGATCCCTCTATTTATTTCCTTAACCCGGTAAAAGCCCACCCTATAGAGTACCAAAGTGTGACGTCATTTTGAACTGGAAAGTGTAGTGCAAACGAAACGTGTGCACGTTGTGGTTCACGCGTTATGCCCTTTACACACACTGCGCGCGTTTTCACTTTGGTACTCTTTAAGAGTATTCAATTCACAGTTGACCGAAACGAGCGTACCGACAGTTAAACATCACCAGATTTATGTCCCGACGTGTTGAGAAGAAATCCCCATTACATTGATGAAGTCTTTGGCACTGTGAAATTGGATCTCACCTCAAAAAATTTGCCTAATTGTGTACTGCGCTACACGTAGATGTATGAGTAACCTTGCAAGAACTCAATTATCAAGTCATTAGATAAGTCAGAACTCGGTTGATTATATCATTCTCTAATCTGAAACTGAAGCCAATCATTTCGACTGGCGTTCATACAAAACACGACGTTCAGACAACTTGTCATCAAGTCTCCACTCAAGCAGATTCACGAACAAGCACTGAGCATACAGTGTTTACCAATTTATACGTTGGGTAAGGGCAAAAACCCCTTATATGAATTAACACCTCCCCAACGCAAAAATAAATCTTGAAAACAGACTGATGCATCTATATGGGCCCAAAGCTGGACCGAGAGAGGGCGCGATTTTCCTAGATAATGCTCGCGCTCATAATGGCGTGTGAGCTAAATAAAGTGAAAAAATTTACATTTGCTTCCCGAAACGATGATCACACTACTTCACTGCCATTTCTCACATATATCTCATTAACTTTAATTTCCACAAAAATGGCATTAATTTCAATAAATATTCACCTACAAGAATATTTGACATCTATCAAAATACTAGTTCATGTGCATTATTGTTTATTAGGTCATACCGAAGATTGATTTATGACGGTAGTGTATGATACTACTCAATTATATTACACACATATTTAATACTCAATATGCATAACGTTGGTGACACGTACAAAATACAAAAATACCACCCTTTATTCAACACACATGTAGCTGCACATCCGCGACGGGACTTCTACCTCCACGTTAAATTCGTACAAAAATAGAGCGTTGAAACAGTATGCATATAGGGATATAATGCATTGTCAAAAAGTTTGTGCAAATCAGAGAGACAGTGAAACAAAATTTACATTCTTTACAAATTACGCACACTTCTATAAAATAAACAGTGCATGAACATGCAATACAAAACAAATGTAATAATAAACAGGGTCAGTGAAGTGCACGCTAATTTCAGAAACACAGTACTTCAGTTCGTGTAAATGCATAAATACTTTTATAATTACAAGTTACAAAGACAGCCATGCACATGGACAGATACGATGCTTAGGTGCCGAGTACACAGTAGAAACTTGCCAGATCCAGTTTACACATTGTTCGTCATTCCTCTTGAAAATGACTAAAACTAAAATTTAGAAAATTATGAGGGGCATGGCAGGGTTACATCCCGTCCGATCGGCTGCTGCTTTGGCGTTTGGACTTGAGGGAAAACTCCTCACTCGATACACACGTAGGCCTACACACAACGAAAGAACATCGCATTTCTGAGGCAACAATACGACGTGAATGGGTTGGATGGCGCAAAAACACCGTTCTGAACGTGTCTGAAGCAACTTAGTTTCGGTAGTTGGTGTCAAAATGCTACCGCAAGATGTAGCTGAAAGAAAAAAAATCCCTAACAGAAGCGGCGTGTAAAAAATTGCACAGCGACGACAGAGAAGAACAGTGAAGGAACCTCTTCCAGGGTTAATTAAAAGGTCAAAGACAGAGAGCGCCATTTCTGTATTAACGTTCATGACGTTTCCGTAATCTTCAGTGAAAAAGGGAAATCTTGTGAGTTATATGCCTAGGAAGGGTGGATTCAAAACCAATTACATGTATTCAGGGAAAAACTTATTTGGATGGCGCAAAAAAGTTTGGAAATATTTTCATATAACCTTTCTTGCCTTCCTAAAGCAACACTTTGAAGCTTTTTACAAGCTTTGGGGAGGAAAAGAACTGAAATAAAAAAATCTCCTTTCTCGCATTTTAAAAATATATAAACATTTTGGTTCCCTTTTGGGGAGAGAGGGAGGTACGGTTGGCCCCCTGGATCTGTCCTTAATGCCCCAGGTACAAGTCATTTACGAGAGAACCTTCAATATTTCCCCCTATCTTTACACAAAGAAAACCAAAACCCGGATAATGGACTTACGAGCACCATAACAACGTTTCTAACAAATGGCTGTACGAACACCGCATTCATTACAATGAATAAATAAATAAATTAAATACTTGTGAGCCACTTCATGCACAGAACAAAAGTAAACAGTTCACTCACACACCATCAGCCTTACATCAAAGCTCTATCATGTATTGGTCATTTAGAAGCACTTTAAGAGCATGTACCGGGAGAAAAAAAAACGGGCACAGACGAGTCTCAATAAACTACAGCAAGAAGATGCCCCGGACCAGCAACCATAACGCTGTCGTAACTACATGTACCTTGTTACAAGTACGGACAGGGCAGAGAAAAGAGAATATTATACATGCCAAAGAATTCAACAAATCAAGACCCATAGAATTTGTTTGAATATACAATGTACATGTATGTACAATGTATATGTATTGACCGCACGGTTCTGACAGGCCACCAAAAAACTGACTTTTTATGCTATGACAACCTCACTCTTTTTCACCGAAAATTCATGAAGTAAGGTTAAACAGATACATAAAATTACAATTGCAGGACCCCCCCAAAAAAACTCCTTGTGGTCATTTTACATACTGGCATACATGTATGTACATGTTCTTGCATTCAGTCAAACGAAAGGGTCTCTAGAGACAACAGAATGAAACTGCTCGTTGAATAAACTCTGAAGTTATTGCATGGAATCTTTGGTAGGGGTCAGCGTAAGGAAACCGCTCCTGTAACTTCCTTATTGTCTTAAGCAGAAAAATCACATACCACAGCCTCAGCTCTTTGGCAAGACTCTTTGGCAAGGCAGTCAAAAGAGGGCCGGCTCCCAACAGGAAAACCTTTATCTTCGGCCGTAGCCACTGCTTTCCAAAATGGCCTCAAGACTTGGCAAACTATCCGAAAGCTGCAGCATTCTGCAACGTGACAAGTGTTCAATTTATGACATTCTCTCACCGATCCCTCAGTAACAACAGTGGTGTAGTTACTGAGGGTATTAGAGGCATGTCCCTCCATGAAGAGGTCCATCCCCCAATCGAGGTCCATCTCCCAGTAGAGGTCCATCCCCCCCCATAGAGGTCCATCCCCAAATTACAACTGCAGGACCCCCCAAAAATATCCTTGCAGTCATTTGCATGCAATCTTTGGTAGAGGTCCATCCCCCCATAGAAGTCAATCCCTCCATAG